TCTTTTTGAGACAGGGGCTTGCTTTGCAATTCAGGCTGACCTTGAGTTCACTTTTTAGCCCAGGCTGGACTCAGTTCCTCACAAACCTCCTGCCTCAGCCTCCCTAGTGCTGGGACTGGGTGTGCTACCCTGCTCAGCAAGAGTGATAACCTCTTAAGAAGAGCTTCAAGCAAGGCTTTCAGGGGGAGTTGAACGCCTAGTTCAGTAATGGTGAACCTTTTAGAACTTTCATTGACACAGCTTGCTGTAGCACACTTGGCCATAGGTTGGCCACCGATGTTATAGTTGATCAATATATTGGAGCACTGGCACTGATACTGATCCCAAGTCTGTAGGCCTATGGTGATTTGTGTTTGTGCCTTCATTTTTAACACAGAAAATAAGTTTTAAGAAGTAAAAACTAAGTAGAAAAAAAGCGTATAGAATTAGTATATAGCCAGGTATGGTGGTGCACTGTCATCCTAGCATATGGGAATTGAAGGTCAGCCTGAGCTAGTGAGAGTTTGTCTTTAAAAAAAAAGGCCAGAAACAGAAATATCTTATTTATTTATTTATTTTGCCACCTCAGCCCACCCTGAGAGTGGGGCTGGTGCAGCATGTGGTGCTGGGGATCGAACTGCCTTCCGCTGGGTCTGCCTAAGCTTGCCTATGTAGGCGCTGAGCTCTCTCTCTTTTTGGGGAGAGGTTTCTGGGAAGCAAGCCTCCAGTGAGCAGTGTATGGCACACATGAATACTCTATAATGTCTTTACATTAGTGTTGCACAGCACACTATTGCCTTATGTTTATTTGGTTTCAACTTCTTTGTTTCTTTGAATTTGATCATTGTATCCTCCAAATTTTCCTCATGTCCTCTAGCTCCATTTACTTGGTTGCTTAGTTTTGCTTTTCCTTGCAATCTCTGGATCTTTTCTTACCAAATAAAATACATGCTAATGCAAAATTTATGATGAGTGTTCCACGGGCAATACTAACAGTGCTAGAAGCTGGGCATTGTGGCACAAGTCTATAGTCCCGGCACTTAGGAGGCTGAGGTAGGAGGAGTGTCTCGAGTTTGAGACCAACTTGGGCTACACAGTGAGCTCAAGGCCAGCCTGAACTGTATATCGAGACCCTGTCTCAAAAAGACCAAAACAAAACAAAACAAAGTGCTGGAATACTGTATTCTGTTTATGTAAACACTGTTCTAAAATCCCCTGGGTTTTTTTTTTTTTTTTGGTACCAGGAACTGAACTCAGGATCTCATGCTTGCCAGGCAGGCGCTACACCTCTGAGCTAAATCTCTGGCCTTTCCTTAGGTTTCATAAAGAGATCCCTTAGAATGTTCCCTAGTTTTGCCCACCACTACAGGGTAGTGGTGAATATGAATTTGGTCCATCTCAAGAGCAAGGAATGCTGGCTTAAGATTCCTGATTTTCTTTAGGATTCTTCCATTCTTTCCCCTAAGTCTGTGAAACTCTTAAGAATTTATGAGGCTAGTTAAAATAAACATGCTGATATCTTTGTTACAAAAATGAACAAATCATAGTTGTTTACCTCAAGTTGTATTTATCTCTAAATAATTTTTGAAAGTTTTAGCAATCTACTTGGTGTCTATGGCTCCACAGCATGCTCGTCTTTCATTTCTCATTGCTGTATGCTAATGCATATTTTGTAATACTGTGATAAACACAAGGGATCTTTGCTTTTTTGTTCTTTTCAGTACCCAGTACTTTTAAGAAAACAGATGATTTTGTAACATCTAATGTGCCAGCTGTTGACCTGGACCACAAATTTAGATGCAAGGTTGTGGACTGTTTAAAATTTTTTCGCAAAGCTAAACTGCTACACTATCACATGAAGTATTTCCATGGGATGGAGAAGTCACCAGAGCCAGAGGACAGCCCAGGGAAGAGACATGTCCAAACAAGGGGCTCTTCAGCTTCTGACAAGGCCAGCCAGGAGAGTGTGACCAGGAAGCGTGTCTCCACCAGTTCTCCAAGTAAGTATCTTGGTTCTGTTTTGTGTCGTTGAGGGCTGTGCTGCTTACTCTCAGTGTTTATGTCTCTGACAGAGAAAGATTGTCTTAGTTTAGTTGAATTCCATTAGACTGAAAATGCTAAGTGCTCCTTAGAAGTTGTGTCGTGAGTCACGGGCCTTGTGGGGGAAGGAGGAATACCTAACTCTCAGTCTTGTGTCTTTCTTTTGCTGCCCAAGTTACCTTGAGGAATTTACCTGTAACAAATGATCTGAGTCAGAGACCACCTAACAGGCTTCTGTGAAGGCAGTGAGGCACAAGGTTTAGTACATCTGGGTGCAGGCAGATAGCAGGCAAAAAGACCACCCATGGGGAACAAAGACAGGTGGGACTTCTTTAGAGGGCTTCACAAAAGGGGGTTGGTGAGGAGATTAGGTAAGGTAGGGGGTCTGGCAAAGGATACCATGTGAAGAGCTCTAAGCGAACATCAGTGATCCAAGTTCTCAAGTGTGTCTGCTAAAAATGTTTGGATGTTATCAGATGTCCTGGTGCTGGAAAGATTCCATGCTCTGCCTTATCTCTTCTTTACAACATCCTGTCCTTTGTTTGCCAAGGCAGCACCTGTGTTGGCTGCAGTTTTTGCTGTGAATAGTGTGGTGACTGAAAAGCAGGTTGGGTGCTGGGCAGGTCATACCCAAGTTGAGCCTGATGTTACATAGCTATTGAAGGCTCTGGTGCTCTCAGGATGAATGGGGACAGTCCAGAAAGGAGCCTCTTGCAGAAGCCAGTGGGAAAATTTATACCCAGGACAGAACAGGTGCTATCATTCTGTCCTCCCAAACTTGTGTCCTGGCAGTTTCCCTGGAAGCAGGATGAAAACATAAAAGAACTAAAAAGTGATGTGCTGCTGCTAGGTGCAGATGTTGACTCTTCTTATCTCTTGATTGTAGATCTTTGGTTTTTTTGTTTGTTTATTTATTTATTTAGTGGGGGGGGCAGCTCAGCCCACCTAGGGGTGGGGCTTGCTGGCATGTGGTGCTGGGGGATCGAACCACGGTCCCTGTGCTTTGCTAAGCTTGTTCTTTGGTTTTTTTGTTGTTTTTTTTCCCCCTGGAACCAGGGATTGAACTCAGGCCCTTGCGCTTGCCAGGGAAGCGCTTATTCTACTGAGCTATCTCCCGGCCCCTAAGCTTGGTCTCAGTAGGTGCTTTAGACCACTGAGCCATCTCACCAACCCCGATCTTTGTTTTTTTGAGACAGGGTCTTGCTATGTAGTTCAAGTCACCTTTGATTTTGCTGTGTAGCCCAGGCTGCCTCAAGCTCATTGCTGTGCTCTTGTCTCAGCCTCCCCAGTGCTAGGATTACAGGTGTGGGGCACACTAGGCCATTTGAAGATATTTTCAATAGCACTGTTTATGGTAGTGCTATATGGACTATGTAAACTCTTATTTCTTCTTGCACAGAATCTTTTGGAAGTTTCTTCTGAAATTTATAGAAATTAGAAAATTATATTTCAAGGGAATTTTAGAAGTAATAAATTTCCAATAAATCCTATAATTTTTTCAGCTTGTTTACCTAACATTTAATTTAATTAAATTAATTTATTTTTTGGCAGAACAGGGGATTGAACTCAGGCCTTTGCGCTTGCCAGGGAAGCACTTATTCCACTGAGCCATCTCCTCAGCTCTACCTTACATTTTAGTAGTATCACTATTTATTTGTTGGTTTATACCTGTTCCAGTGAAGTATGTAAGAGTTGTTGGGCATCATGGTACACTCCTGTAATCCCAGCATTTGGGAAAGTTGAGGCAGGAGGATTGCCATGAGTTTGAGACCGGCTTGAACTATAGCAAGACCTTATCTTAAAAAAATACCAAAAAAACAGGGCTGGTGAGATAGCTCAGTGGACTAAGCACCTGCTTAGGTATACTCAGGGACTGGAGTTGCACATCTGACACCACATGCAGTGCCAACCCAACCCCCAGGCGCACTGAGCCCACCAGCCTTTAATCCCAGTGTTGGGGAGGCTTAAAAACAGGAGGATCACTACAAGCTGCATAGTGAGACCCTGTACCAAATAGATTAAAAAACCCCTAAAAGA